TCACAGCCCAATTCGTAACCACTATGCTACCAGAAACCCTGTACAGGGTCGCTATGAGTCAGACCTGACTCCACGGCACATACCCATTACCCTTTCTATAGCAAAGATTTGAGACCACTTCTAGGTGCCCTATCTCTTTCCCAGTCACTTCTCATTCATGTAACTGTGTAAGTTTTGTTAGGTACACAGCAGGCGGCATCCCTGTGACCAGTAGGGGACTCACTATGTGAGATAAGAGCGATGAAGGCCCATGATGGCAAAGAGTGATTCCTGGGCAGGGCTTCACCCTTCTGTGAAGTCTATCTGTGGTCTGTAGATGGCTCCCCTGGCTGCCACAGAGGACTCGCTGTCCATCTCTGCGTTGTCTTCACTCCTAAGGCTTAACCTCACCCTGCGCGGACTTCATCTCTTCTTCATTGCCCTAGTCTGAGGGATTATGTTGTTATTCTATCAAGGGCTTTTGTAAGAGCTGCCTTTCTGGCTAAAATCAGACCCTGGCTTGATAGCATACAGTTAATACAATAGGCTGGAACCTCACTCCAATTCTTGATCAGCTTCATGAACCATGTGAACTTGGACATGTTACTTAGTTGCTCTGTGACTCTCTTTAACTCTCATATTTGAAATGGAGGTAAGTCCTTATTGCAGTGAATTCTTAGGAACATTAAATACTGTGTCTACAGAACTTGACAATGTAAGGATAAGCACAGGACTGCAAGGTTGGTTGGAATCACAAGGTTGGTGATTGAAACTCACCAGTTGCTCCTCAAAAACCCTATACAGGTGCACTATGAGTCAGAACCAATTCGACAGCATTTAACAACAGCACACTAACCCCCCAGGTCATCAGTTCAAACCCCACTAGTTCCTACTCAGAAACCCTATAGGGTCAATTTGACTCATGACTGACTCAAAGGCACTTCACCACAACAGTAGCTCCTAGAAGAATGTCTCTCTGTCACAAAGGTCATACCAGCTCATAGGGTTTCCAAGTAGTGGCTGGTAAGTTTGAACTACTAACCCTTGTGATTCAAACCAACCTTGTGGTCCACTGCATATCCTACAGCACCACAGCTATTACATTTTTACTGTTACTGCCTCTTGGGGAGACAAGCTGGCACAATATGTCATCTTGCTCTGAGGCATATACAGGCGACTTTCTGATTTGTTTTTGTTCATTATTTTGGCCGTCCTTATTTTGGGAGGAATCTTAGTTTTAGTAGCTACTGTGTAGGTGGGTTATCACCTCTTTGAATAGCCCAGCTGGTAGAGTTTTTTGTTTTGTTTTTTTCATTTGGGAACCTAACTTGAGTTCTTCTTCTCTTGGTGGTGGGTTCCTGACATACCAGATTGATCTGGGGAGAGCACTTCAAGATGTTGTGTTGTTGCCAGGACACAGGACTGGGCAGAGGCAAGCACTGTACTAGCCTTTTGTGGTCTCCTTGGCAGCTTACTGCCATTATGACATGTTTAATTTAGCTTCTCTTCTAGATGTTCCTGGTTCTCCCACGACTCCCCTAAGACTGCTCTTCCTTGTTGGAGACTTGTTAATGTGTGTTCCTCCCTCGTGTTTCTATCTGGAACAGCTTGTAGTCCATATTGAAGAAGGAATTGAATATAACTTGACGTTTTAATCATTGCCTCTTAGTTGTCCAAAGAGAGTATTTAGTGTGATGTGTTAGTTCAAATAGAATTTGTCTTCTCAAAATCTTCACCACATGAAAGGATACATTATGGAAGTCAGAGCTATTGGAGAGGGATATGCAAGTTGTAAAGTTAGCCTAGTACCTTTTCTTGAGCTAATTCTTTTTGTTCCTGCTTACAGTAGACAAAAGGCCCTGTCCTCAGGGCTTCCTACAGTGTGGACACAAGAACAGATTTTAAATAAGGAAATGAGACTGTTGGCAGGCAGCCATGTCACATCTGTCCCTGGAACTTTTCTTGCTTCCCATTTTGATCGCAGTAAAAGTCACAGTCCTTGTTAGGTGTCACCGAGTTGGCTTGGCCTCACAGCAAGAGAACACAGTGGTGGCCGGTTCTGCACCATCCCACTGCTTGTTGCATGTTTGAGTCCATTGTTACTTCTCTAAGCTACAGAAGATTTAAATCCCAGACAGGGTCTCTGACTGGCCTAGCCTGTAGCATGCTGGCATGCTTGGACCACTTGGGGATTTCAGAGGATGAGTGTTGGGATTGCACCCCCAGGACTCCCTGCCTGCCTACCTTTGTGGCCAGAGGATCGGCATGGTTTGTTTGCAGCTCCGATGAGGACCGAGTGGGTTTGAGGTATGGGACAAGACATGGAGCAGAGATTCTGGGGGGAAATCCCAAGTCTTAGGTCTCCACTCGAGCTTCCGTCTGGACCTGGACAATCTGCCCTCAGATGGTGTGGTGCCGTACACTTATGTAGTGTCAGCTGGAATGCAGTGTCTGAATTGCCTTCGGTTTCTCAAGCTGTGTCCTCCTTCAGGCCCAAGGGGGGCTCCTGTCTCTGTGATGTCTGGCACTTCACAAGATGCTCAACACGTTTTTGAGTGAAGTGATTCCACTGCTTAGCATGACTTCCCTCCTTCCTTTTTATGAACAAGTTCCTGCTAGGATACCACATGAGTATGGTATTTCCTACCCACCAGAGTCTGGCTCTTCTCACAGCTTTTGGGTTACATGGGGGTTATCCCTGTTTGGAACTTTTTTCTTATTATAGGGTTAAAATTTCCTGCAAATTCAAGGAAAGATACAATTGCTTAAAATGCTTATTGAAATCCTTTGAGTGGTGTGCTGTCAAGCATCTTTCACTCCAGTAGCCTCAGCTTTCTTGCGCACGCAGTCCTGTCTTTCTAACCTATAGTATGCCACTGTGCTGCCAGGTCAGTGTTGATGCACAGCGACTCTGTTGATGATTTCCAAGGCTGTAAGTCTTTATCACTGGACCAATAAACAATATTCTTACCAACGGAGAAAAGATTTAAGTTGTCGAGGACTTCATTCTTTTTAACTCAACCATCAACACCCATGGAAGCAGCAGTCAAGAAATCAAACGACATATTGCATTAGGCCAGTCTGCTACACAAGACCTTTTGAAAGTGTTGAAGAGCAAAGATGTCAGCTTGAGGACTAAGGTGCGCCTGACCCAAGCCGTGGTATTTTCAATAACCTCATATGCATGTGAATAAGGAAAACTGTAGAAGAATTGATGCATTTGAGCTATGGTGTTGGAGGAGAATATTGAAAGTGCCATGGGCTGTGAAAAGAACCAATAGATCTGTGTTGGAAGAAGTGCAACCAGAGTGCTCCTTGGAGGCCAGGATGGAGAAACTTCGTCTCTCATACTTTGGACATATTGTCAGGAGGGACCAGTCTCTGGAGAAGGATATCATGTTTGGTAAGGTGGAGGGTCAGAGAAAAAGAGGAAGACTCCCAGTGAAATGGATTGGCCAAGTACCAGCATCAGTGGGCTGAAGCGTGGCAATAATTGTGAGCTTGGCCCAGGACCAGGCAGTGTTTCTTTCGGTTGTACAGAGGGTCGCTAGGAGTCGGTACCGACTCGATGGCTCCTAACAACAACAGCAGTCTTTACAGAGTGGAAACCCCTATCTTTCTCCCGTGGAGCAGCTGGTGGATTCCAACAGTAGCCCAACATGTAACTCACACTACCACCAGGGCTAATATGCCACTGTTGTTGTTGACTGCTGTCAAGTCAGTTTTGACTCATAGTGACCCTGTATAGGGTTTTTAAGGCACAGCTGGTGGGTTTGAATCGCCAACCTTGTGGTTAGCATTCCAGTGCTAATCCTTAGCAGAATATATCTTAAGCACATTTACTTTGGAATACTGCTTTAGCATCAGGGGAATTTGAGTTCCAGTGGGTGTGAAGTGTGAATCATTCTACTTGGAAATCGCCGTGATCCTAATAATGGACTAGCGTTAGTGTGTTTTGGAGTTCTTGTTTTCTGGCAGGCTTTAGAAGTCGGGACTGTCTCTATGCCTGTTCTTCAGATGAGGGGACCTGAGACTGGAGAAGTCAGTGAGCTCATCGAGCATGCTTCAGCCATGTATGGTGGAGCTGGGAGGAGAATCCTCCTCCTGCCTTTGTAATAAAAAGAAAAGACACTGGGAGTTGGGTTACAGGAAAGGAGACCAAGCACAGGGCGTGAAGGAGTGGAGTTCTCTGCCCAAAAGCTTTGGTCAATATGAAAGAACAAGAGGGACAATCCCATGTCTCTGTGAGGAGAGCAGGCACCAAGACACTGTCAGTGGGCTGAAGCCAGAGGCTTTGCCCAGGATACTGAAGAGAATGCTCAAGAGAAACAGGTGCCCACTGCCTTTTCTGTCTCCAGTGTGCCTGTTGGTCCATAGTCTTGAAACCATGGCCATAGCAAGAGTCTTCATTGAGGAGAGCATCAAGCATCTGGATAAACGTGTAGACATAGAATACATTTTAGTAGAATACTTAGAGGAAGCCAAGCAGAATGCATTTATAAGCATCTCACTGGAATTTTGTGGGAGAGGCTGCCTGAGAGGTTAATAACAGGCAGGTAATGTGATCTGATGCTACCAGTTTTATTAAGGATGCGTTCGAGGCCATTGATGTAGCTTTTCTTGGGTCGTGCTGTATGGTTTCATTCTCTATAGAGGTTTTCCTGGTTCCCTTTAGATGCCAGTGTTTGCCTCTCTTCCCTATATTCATTCTAAAAAAAGGCCTGTTTCCTTATCTTCGGATTCTCTTTCCTGGGATGTGTTCAGTAAGATAGATGGAGATTACTGGTGTCATAGCACCTGATAGGACAGTTTGCTCTTTGTAACCTGTCTGCTCTACTGAGTTATTACACACACCCTGTGCTAGGACAATGTTTGCTGTTTGTAACCTGTCCCTTCAGGAAGGATCAACCTTGGCTAGTTTCGTACCAACTGACTACTCTCCTGGTTTATGTTTTGGCGAATCCTGTAAAGTCCTTCTCGGATAAATACATGGTATTAAGTTGTGTTTTTGTCCCTATCAGGTTGCATCACAGCGCATTAGCTCAGTGGACCTCTCGTGCTGTAACTTGGAGCATCTGCCTGCCAATCTCTTCTACAGCCAAGACCTCACTCATCTCAACTTAAAACAAAACTTCCTAAGGCACAGCCCTCGCCTGCCAGCTGCCAGAGGGCTTCATGACCTGCAAAGGTGAGCTGCAGACCTGGGAGGGGCTTATGAGTGGAGAGAAATCAGCTGCTAGTGGTTTCGTGAACATCCTAACTTTTAAAAAACGTAGTCTGTGTAAATAAACCTTTCTCTTCCAGAGTGCAGGGTTGTTGTTGTTGTTAAGTGCCTTCGAGTCGGTTCCGACCCATAGCGACCCTGTACAGGGTTTCCGAGGGTGTAAATCCTTACGGGAGTAGAAAGCCTCATCTTTCTCCCGCAGAGCAGCTGGTAGTTTCGAATTGCTGACCTTAAGGTTCGCAGCCCGATTCGTAACCACTACGCTACCAGAGCTCCTAGAGTGCAGGGTAATGGGACTTTATTACTGAGGATGTTATTTATCAATTTTCACTTAGAAATTTTTTCCAAGGTTCCTACCTTTGAAATGAATGATCTGTGGTATTCAGTAACTGGATAGATCTTTGTAAGAACATAAAATCATATCTATTTCTTAAACCTCTGATAAATCTGTGAAAAGTTAATAATCTTTATCATTTGTGAACTAAGGAGCTCTGGTAGCGTAGTGGTTACAAATTGGGCTGCGAACCACAGGGTCAGCAGTTTGAAACTATCAGCTGTTCCACGGGAGAAAGATGAGGCTTTCTACTCCTGTAAAGATTTACAGCTTCAGAAACCCTGTACCGGGTCAACTATGAGTTGGAACCAACTACATGGCATATAACAACAGGATTTGGTCTAGTTAAATGATCTCTTTTGAAATACAAAAAGGTCAGTTTTTTGTTTAGTTTTGTTTTTCAATGAAAGGACATGTTCTTATATATTTAAGAAACAGCCATGAAGGCCATGTCATCTAGGTGATTAGCATATAGGTTTCAAGAGTCTCATGTCAAATATAACTATATTTATAATTAGAGAGGAAGGGCTGTACTTACATATCTCTAAAACACCTTTTTAAATTTACCATAAAGATTCATCTGCATTATTTTTAAGAGCAATGATCAATCTTGTGTCTGAAGGAAATTAAACTGCTAATGTATTTATTGCAAGAGAATATAGTTGTTTTAAATAATAAATGGTTCATTTGTTTTTAAGTTGACTGTGAAAGTATCAAGGAGCTCTGGTGGCTCAGTAGGTTAAAGAGTGGGCTGACAACCTTGAAGTTGACAGTTCAAATCCATCATCCACTTCTTGGAGAAAGATGCGTTTTTTTATGCTGCCTTAAACATTTACAGCCTCAGAAACCTTATGAAGCAGCTTTACACTATCCTATAGGGTCACTGGAATCCTGGTGTGGCCTGTAGGATAAAGCATTGGACTGCAAGATTGGCTTGAACCACAAGGTCTGCGGTTTAAACTCACCAGCTGCTCCTCAGAAACCCTTTACAGGATTGCTATGAATCAGAACCAACTCGATGGCACTTAACAACAACAACAACATAGGATCACTAGAGTCGGAATCAACCGGATAGCAGTGGGTGGTGGGATCAGACATTAAGCTATGGTAATAAACCATTTCGATTTTGTGTCTATGGTTCTCAACATCCAGAAAAAATAATCCCATGAATGTTTGCTATAAACAGGCATATTAGTAGAAAAGGTATATTAGTAGAAATATGCTGTTGGAAATTGTGTTTTTCAGATAATTATATATATTATTCTTTGATTGTTGATGTTAAATGCTCCCAAGTCAGTTCTGACCCAAAGCGAACTCTTCATAGTGGTTCCAAGGAGCAGCTGGTGAGCTTGAGCTACCCATCTATCTTGTGGTTCAGACCAACTTTGCAGTCCAGCTCATTAACCCACACACAGCACCACACCAGGACTCCGTTATTCTTTGATACCACACCAAAATTTGCAGATGGTCATTTTTTAAAGGATAGTTCTAATGTGGAATCTAAAATCCTCATCAGTGGCCAATGAATATTTTTATAGGAAGGTCCTTTGGACTGTCTTGCACTTTGAATGGACCTTTATACCTATGCATAATATGTCAAATACTGGCTTATTGTATAGGAAAAAGATTCTAAAAGTTAACAGATTTCATTATACAATTTTAAGAAATCACACTTGTTAATACCACCACTGATGTCATCAGAAAAATTTAAATATTGAGAAGTTGTCAAGCCAGCTATAAATACAAGTTTTGAAAGTGTTTTAATTGAAAACTTGAACCGCATTATTGGCAACACTACTATCAGCTGGTTTTCTTCAGGTGCCCTGCTCACCTAATCATTTTTGAAAAATGTCTTGACACCATAGTATGTCCGTCATTCTCTTAAGTAAAACGGTGTCCCGTGAAAATACTGACTGGCTACTAGTTCACCTCACAAGGAGCTCTGGTAGCGTAGTGGTTACGAACGGGCTGTGAACCGCAAGGTCAGCAGTTCGAAACCACCAGTTGTTCCGTGGGAGAAAGATGAGGCTTTCTGCTCCCGTAAAGATTTACAGCCTCGGGAACTCTATACAGAGTCACTATGAGTCGGAACTGACTGCACGACACACAACAACAACAACAACAAGTAGTTCACCTCACAATTCAAAGGGTAGTTCAGTTGATTCCTTAGGCAGTCCATGGCACTTTCAGTACTCTCCTCCAACACCACAACTCAAAGGCATCAATTCTACGATCTTCTACAGTGGTTGCACCATTTTACAGTCCTGTTAGCAGGGTTTGCTTTGAGATACCCACCGTACATCAGTTTGCAAAAGTGCCTTATTCCCGTTTCCTTACCTGGAAAATCAAAACAGAGGTGTATGTACTCAAGCATGGCGACGTGGTGGAAACAACTTCCCTGTACGAGTGGTGATGTTCTTAGGTGAAACTGGCACTGGAATTAAAAAGAAGTGCTCTTGCTGTGTGGGTCAGAGAAGACAGCAGTAAGTATTGGTGGGGTGTATGCTGTCTGTCACTTCCGACTCAGATTCCACAGACGGTTTCCAAGAGCGACTGGTGGGTTTGAATCACCGACCTCGTGGTTAGCAGTGCGGTGCGAATCCTCAGACGCCACAGAAGGACTCTACTGTAAGACTCTGGAATGCTTCATTGAGTAAATCACACGGGCAGTAACAACTCTAATAGGAATAGTGTTCTTACTGCTTCCGATAGCTGATGGGTGTATGAAATAACCACAGTGAGATTCTTGAACTTAGGTTTTAATATGCTTTCTGTACAGAGCATGGAGTCCTGGTGTGGTGCTGTGGGTTAATGCCTTGGACTGAAAGGTCCTTTTAGCCACAAGGTTGGCAGTTCAAGCTCACCAGCCGCTTCTTGGAAACTTTATACAGGGTCACTAGAGTCGGACTGACTCGTCAGCACGTCACAACAACAATGACACAGAGCATGATGATTTGTGAGACAAGCACTGGACTATGAACACCAAGGTTGGTCATTCAAGTCCACCTTGCTTTGTGGGAGAAAGATAAGGCTTTCTACTCCCACAAAGATACCAAAAAAAAAAAAAAATCCTCAGAAATCATCTTATACAGGGTCTCAATTAATCGAAACTGACTCCATGGCACTTAACACAATATATAGAAGAACTCGAGTATGATGCAGGTGCAAGGTTGGCAGTTCAAGCCCATCAGCTGCTCTACTAGAGAAGTCAGGCTTTCTGTTCCCATGACGATTTACAGCCTTGGAAATCCTAAACAGTTGCTGCATTGGAATTAATCAATGGCAGTGGTTTGGTGTGTTCTTTTATGTGTTGCTAACAGTATTTGTACGAGAGTATTAGTGCTTTATACCAGTACTCAGCTTGAGAAAGGGAACATTACTGCAAGCACCCTGGGAGTCACTCCTAGTCCCTCATCCCCGTACCTCTCCTCTCCTTACCCCCAACCACTCTTCCTGACATCTGACACCATCAATTTGTTTTGCCTGTCATTGCAGTGGATCCTAGAGTATGTGCTGTTGTGTCTTGACTGCTTTCATTTGCATACATTTTTTAAAGCATGCCAACTTACATATTACCAACTTGTGCTTTAGGGTGGGTAGTATAAAACCAGGACTCTGATTTGTTTAAGGTGGAAAATTTGAAAGTTTTATACTGCAGCAAGTGGTTTGGGACTTGCTTTAAGCATGGGAGGTCAACTGAGTGGGCACTTGGGACCAAGTAACTGCCCAGGCTGCTGGTGGGCCACCCTGTGGGAAAGCCTGACTGAAGACCTGTTTCTGTGTCTCCACACACCCCACTGTGAGGCTTTAGTTCCCGCCCCCATCAACTAAACAAGACCCAAGGTCCTAAACTGTCAAGTCTTCAAATAAATTTTGTTTATTGTATGTATCTACACACACATAACAATTATGTGTGTATGTGCATATGTGTTTAGGAGTCCTACTGTGGTGCTGTGGGTTAATGCGCCAGACTGCAAATCTGTTTGAACTGCAAGGTCGATGGTTCAAACTCACCGGTCGCTCCTTGGAAACCCTATATAGGGTCACTATGGGTCGGAACCGACTCAACAACACTTAACAATAACAACAACATATGTATTTGTACATACACACACACACACACACACACACACACACACACACACATATATATATATGTATATGTATAAAGTGTATGTATGTGTTTATGCACATATACACATAGTACATATATTTAATGCTAGGAATTAAAAACATAAAGCCTATTTTAGAACATTGTACACACAGGTGCAAACATTAATAGGAAAAGCATTCATGTATCTTATATGTTCATACCGTTAGTGTGGTTTTGAGTGGCCATATAGTTTAATTGCTTGTTTGTGTGTGCTCATGAAATTTATGTTATGCTAAATCCATGAGTATGTTTTTTTTTTTAATGTTTTATTGTGAATTATGTGCTACTTTACATGGGAGAACATTAGTTTTACATTCATCCTATCCTGTATCGTTTCATTGCCATGGTTACAATCCCCGCCATGCATCATCACCCAACCAAAGGGTATACCCTGTAAGCATGCCCCCTGGTCATCAGCACACAGTCCCTCTCCCTCTCTGTGTCTTAAAGTCCCCAGCTGCTCTGTCTCTCCACTTC